TAGCAGTCCACGGTACTTTCAGCATTCTTCGCCAGCACCACAACTCAAAAGCATCAACTCTTCTTCGGTCTTCCTTATTCATTGTCCAGCCCTCAGGCAGGAAACAGAAAGCCAGAGCTGATGGCCAGATACAGGGAAGGGGGAAGGCCAGGACGTGAGCACAGGGGTTTGGAACAGCTCAGGGAGACGAGCTTGTCTGTCAGTCTGTCGTACTGTGGTGGCTTGCATGTTGCTGTGAGGCTGGAGGCTGTGCCACCAGTGTTTCAAACGCCAGCAGGGTTGCCCAGGGTGGACGGGTTTCAGCGGAGTTTCCAGACTAAGACAGACTCAGAAGAAAGAAGAGGCCATCAATTTTCCAAACAATTGGCCAGTGAAAACCTTATGAATAGCAGTGAACACTGCCTGATATATTATTGGAAAACTTTATGAACAGTCCTGAAACATTGTCTGATATACTGCCAGAAGATGAGCCCCTCGGGTTGGAAGGCAGTCAAACTATGACTGGCATAACATACTACACAAAACATTGGTCCACCTCCTACTTTGGCAAGTAGCAACTGGGATCTTAAAAGCTTGCAAGCAGCCATCTAGATGCAACAATGGGTCTCTCCTCATCCACAGCAAAGAAGAATGAAGAAAACCAAAAATTCATGGAAAGAATTACTCCTAGTGACTGGTACACTATGTGATCCTCAGCCTACATGACTATGAGACCAGAAGAACTAGATGGTGCCCGGCTACCACTGTCAACCACTTGGGGGGGAGCTCTGTAGGAGATCCTGGATAGAGAGGGAGAACAACGTGGAACAAAACTCAAAATCATTTGGAAAAGAAAAAAAAGGGACCAGGTTTGTTGATCTGATAGAGCCTGGTGGAACCACTGAGACTATGGCCCCCAGCTGCCCTTCAGGTCTGGAATTGAACCCACACCTGTGGCTTCCATCCAAACAAAAGACAGGCATATGAGTTGAACATTTACCTGAGGTAGATGCACTCCTTGGAGAGAACAATCATGGGAGAAAGAAGGGCTGTGTATGCACAGGGAGATAGCTCAGGGGGCAGGAGTGTATGGAGGGATGGA